AGCAGTGGTAGTAGTAGTAGTTGTTGTTGTTGTTGTAGTTGTAGTTGTAGTAGGAGCAGCAGCAGCAGCAGCAGGAGGAGGAGGAGGAGGAGGAGTAGTAGTAGTAGTAGTAGAAATAATAATAGTGTAATAGTAGCAGTAGCAGTAGCAGTAGAAGTAGCAGTAGCAGCAGCAGCAGCAGCAGCAGTAGTAATAAGTGTTTATGTTTGTCGTTGCGGCTAGGCGCCGTCTCACACGTTACCCCAAGCTCCCGACAACAAGCCCGAACGTCGCAGAACAGGAACGTTCATGGCTTCGAGGCTCAAGGCCACGCAACCTCAACCGCCCGCGCTTCTCAGAAGCACACCCCGGCCTTAAAGCCAAACGCTCGCGACACCTTCACAGAAATTGGAGGCCACGCAACTGCCTTCAACCCAAACTCCAAACCTCAGCGCGGCCGAAGCTTGAGCCCCCAAAGAAAGCACTCTGAGCCAGGCGGCAGAAGCCGCAAAAGGCCCAGGCCAAGGGCTCGATCCCGTAGAAAACATCGAAGTACTCCTTGCCTGGCTCGAGTTCTTCGGAAAGTACTAGGGGTTTAAGGGACCCTTAGGGCTGCCAGTACGATTTGGGGGATCGAGACCACAACAGTCCAAGGCGTGGATACAGACCTGCGCTCTGATATGGACTTGAAACATAGAAATCGGCAATTTCGGGTAGGCAGCAAAAGCTATGAAGATCTACTTCGCTTGCAACGGCCAGGTGAAGATGAGACCGACACCTCCTCGCAAAGCCACATCCCTCAGGGAACCCCAGCTGTGGAAACACAGCCCAAGGCAAATGAGGGAGAAACACAACCAGGGTTCATTCTTATGACCAGAATTGTTAACTGTCTCTGGTACTCGGTGATACCCCTCTTCTCGTCAGCTGTTGTAAGCAGCCAAACGAAGCTAGGGCGCCCTTGTAGACGAACGCATCTGCGGCCATGGGGGCACTGGCGATCACGGCAGCGCCTGCGGCCGTGGTCACCACATCACCTCAGCAGTAACCCTATACACATACATGCAACAAGCAATCATTCTCGAGCCCGCAAACGCTTTCCTAGCCGAGTCGCTTCGGGGAGCGGGGGCCGGCACGAAGGCCATGGAGCGGAGGAGGCAGCAGGCAGCAGCCGCAAGAACGCACCTGAGCGGCGGCTGATCGGGGCTCGCTTTGGGCGACTTTAACGGTCATGCGACTCAGCAGTAGGCTTATACGCAGGGCAACCAATCGAGGACACAGCCGAAGCTCAGATATTCGCCTACAAACCCTAAACCCAAAGCCGTGAACTCGAAATCCCATAGCCTAGAAACCCCAAAGCCAGACAAGCCCAAAATCTCCACAGCCAACCAGGGCTTTCAAAGTCCGAGGCTTTTGGTGTGCCCTAGCTAGGTTACTGGGTTCTTGTTAAGGGATTACATTTAAATTACCATAATGGGGATCTACAATGAATGATCTGGTTTCTTTATTATGGTAACTTAAATTCAACCCCCTTGCAAGAATCCAGGTTAACAGGGTAACTGTTCTCCGCGGCTCTGCAGAGTCCAAGCGGCACAGCCGCGAGTCTGGCCATCGTGGCTGGGACGTAGGAAGAGACGGGATCGGATGCAAAAACTCCTTTAAATGGCTGCAGGTGTTCAGGGCAGAGGGTTTGGTCACGGTCAACGAGTTCGGGGGGTTGGGGGTTCAGGTGTAAGGTGCAGCACAATGGCGAACAAAAGATTGAGCATGCCAACAGCCTATCTTTTAGCGCGGATGCTCACACAAGAAGCACAGTCTGTAGTCGCTGTAGTTGGTAGCATTATTCCTCTAATCTACCTGAATAGGTCTACTCCGCCAGAATCCCTTCTAGGGATGTTGGACCCCCCTCGCCCAATCCGAGAGCCATGCTGAATGGACGATCCTCTCTTGGTGGATCACCTGCCCAGCCGGAAGCACAAATTCCGCCAGTCCGGCCTTGCGAAATGCACATGCTTCAAGCATAAGATGCCAACAGCCAAGGTCCGCCTGTGCTTTCTTGATTTGGCATGTTTTGAGGGGGGTTGGAGGTCTCGTGTGCATGTGCTTGTTCATGGATGCGTCTGAGCTCGTTTCACCATGTTGAGCTATTTGCCCATGCCATCTCAGGTTCGGGATTGAGTGTCTGCATCAACACCATGCCCTGGGCACATGTCCAGGATTCCATCCAGGTTGTTCTTAGTGGTTTTTTCGCGCTTGAGCGCCAATCCAAAACTCAGGTTCTTCTCCTCTCGGAACCAACACGTTGACAAGGACGACAGATCCTGAGTGACATGACCCAATCCGAGCGAGACTGAAAACGGTTGATCGGTTCACGTGTCTTCTAGGGCTGTGGCGTACCGGAAACTTGGATCCTGCAGGATCCTGGAGCATAAACTCGGCAGAATTGCAGGACCCTGCACACACCGAGGTTCCAGGCAGAGGAAGAGTTTAGGTCTTCGGGTTACGGAGCCTGGACCGCTTCGAGCATCTGCTTCCAGAGGTGCTGGATCTGAGACAGCGTCAGCCTGCACCCACAAGCATCGTAGAGAGGAGTAGCCTCGTACTAGTAGCAGTAGAAGCAGTAGTCGTCGTCGCAGCAATAATAGGAACAGAGCGAAGAGTAACGGTAGAAGAAGCCCACCGGGGAGTAGTCGTCGTGGCAATAGCATCGATAGAAACGCGATAGGCAGAAACCCGTGAGCTGGAAATGGCCATTCAAAGGAAAATGTCACGACGTTGTGTGCCTGACTAAGTCCACGATGTATGTCATGCGCACAGCACGAGAGACAAGTCCTAATTGTAATCCGACCAGAACAGATCCGCTGCAATGGCCGGCTCGGGGATCGAGCAATGGGTGTTTTCACAGAGTACCGCCTGCAAAATGATTCCGACGAAACAAAACTCAACACACACACACACACACACTGCAGCCATACTTTTCAGCAGGGCAAGTCGGCGCGGTTGGCCCGTTCGGGACAGCCCAAACGCAACAAAGGTATGCTGTCGAAGCGAGATGGAACTTTGCAAAGGCTTGCTTGCAATGACGCCACGAGATTCCCCTCCAACCCCAACCCCGAACCTGGTCCGTCTTCAAAGTTTCAACCCCCTTCCCCCCGTCTCCATCCTGGGCTGTGACTGAAGGAAGCGGCCCAGGTCCATATCGCCAGCCTGTCTATCAACATGCCCAAAAAATCTGGAAGTGACGGAAAAGTCATGCTGCTTCCGCTGTCGCTGTTGCTGCTGATGACGATGACAGTAATGATGATGATCATGATGACGATGATGATGATGGTGATGATGATGATGATGACGATGATGATGATGATGATATGATGATGGTGATGGTACGATGGTTGCAAAAAATACATGATGTCGTGGCCATAGTTGTTGTTGTCGTCATCTTGTCTTATTCGTTGGTGTCATTCACGTCTTCGTTGCCTTTGCCATGATCATTTGTTGTCGGCATCGTTGGAAACCATGATAACCAAGCACGATGTACTCGGGCCTTGAGCAACTGTCAAGGGTTTTCTCAAGTGCAAGTTCCATGAGTCTGGCAGTGTGGACGCGTGTAGTGAGCCTGTGCCCCAAACGCTGAACCCGAGGCCTCCATGACGATGTTGATGCGGCCTCGCTCGCGGTCGACCTCCGCATCCACCACCTTGGGGGGAGGTCATTCATACAGCCAAAAGCGCATGCGAGCCTACATTCCAGCCCAGCCCTGAGTTCATAAAGAACTAAACACAAGTTCAGAAGTGCGGGGCTGGGGTAGAAGCTCGAGGGTCTGATCTACGTGTATTGGCAGAGAGATTCCAAGACTAAGCATTTTGTCAGCACGTGCTCGCGGATTGCTACTCGAAACGTCTCAAAACTCCCATCGAGATGAAATAAGCTGTGCGAGCCCCGGCATGAGCCTGGATGACATTGTCTCGGTCTCGAAGCTGCTGGAGAAGCACAACTTCGTTTTGGAAGGCCTAGCAAGGATAAGGCCTTCAGGCATGCTTTGAAGGGGTAATTAAGCCTGTGTGGACCATGGTAGATCCTAGCGAGACACGAAGTAGTTGATCTCAAGCCTCCACATATAGAGCAGGCAAGCGATTATGATGGGTATTGACTCGGCAGGAAAACTACCAGCTGCACGTTGCATTTGGGCTCCGTTTAAAGGCTGCCGGATGGATGGCTGCTGCTCTCATTGAGGGCTCAGGGCATCGGGTCCCTCGTTCCAGTGCAGTTTAACCCCCGGGCCCGCAACTGGTTCAGAATGTTCTATCTCCAAGAGACTGAAAGAGGAGCATTTCCTGAACCTAACACATGTGCACACAAACTCTGCGCGAATGTTTTTGTACAATATGAACAGAGAATATAGATATGTATCTCTACATACATGTAAGACACACAAGTCGAGATTTTGCCTGCGTACCCGATGCCGCCTTTGTACCCTTAGCTCATGCCCACAATTCCGCAACCCCAGATCTCTACCGTCAAATCCATGTAGTGGAAATCGACATTTGATTCAACCCGTCGGTTTAGGTCCGTTCGCCACTCTGCAAGACTCGAACCTCCAGCTGCTTCACGCTTTCGGTCCTCAGCCGCCACATGAGGGTCTGATGTGGCGCACAGGGGCTTGCAACAGTTGAACAAGTGGCATTCATACTTTAAGTGCATTCGGATTTCAAGGCAATATGCCTACCACGGCAGGGTATAGGTGGCATTTAGGGTTGCGGTTACGGGAGTGGGGTTAAGGGTTTTCAAGCCTCTGGGCATGTCGGTTTCAGTGCTCAAGAGAAGAAGAATAAGAAGAAGGAACCAGGCGAAAGCTCAAGGCGCCCAAGAATATCTTTGAGCTTTCCGTGCCTGGGCTCCAAGTGGCCCTCTGTCTTATGCCCCTAAAGCCCAAGGTGATGTAACCAGCACAGAACAAACTCGACAACAGTCCCAAACTCCCAAACCTACAGACACCCTCAGGACCCCCGAGCCGTCCCAAGAAGCAGCTCCGTCAACCCTTCTCAAAACGGCCCTACCCTAAACCCTAAACCCTGGGAACCTGGGTCCCCTGCGCCACTCGTTTCAGGGCGAAGGTAGAGCCCTGAGGGTTCTGGACGAGGTACACCTGGCCCGCCCCGCCCCCTTGACTCCACTTGTTGGCTTCGGGACTTGTGGGGGGGCTTTTGTCGGGGCTTTTGGTTTTTGTTGTGGGTTGTAAGGTTTCCTAGGACTCGGCGATTGGGTGTATAGTCTGGGCTGACAGGTGGGTAACATCTGCTGCTTCAGCATTTCTGGGTTTAGGGTTTTACCCTAACGACAAGCCTCATCCGCCGTAGGTCTCGGATGTGTTTAGTCTTTGACCTCGAACATGAAGGGCCAGATCCGTAAAGCGCGGTAGCCCCTGTAAGCCTATCCCGAGGACGTAGGCTGAGACGTAAGAGAAGCAGGTTCGCCCTTCGACACTTCATTCCTGACATGTTTGGGGTTGATGAAGCAGAGGCTTTTGCAGGGCCTGTGTGGGCTACTCGGTGCTCGAGCTGTCATCTCGCATTCAACACTGGTTCTGCCATCGACATGGGCTCCCTGTGCGACCGCAGGGAGATACGTCTTGTTTGAACAAGCTCCCAAGACATCGCAAGGCCCAACAACGGAACCGCTGCACCCCCTGACTTCAGAGACTTCGCCGCACGTACTCTGGACACTTATCGCCCGCCAAACGCCTTCGAACTTCCACCGCGGCCGATGGTGTTCAGCTGGGTATACCTTGCTCAACTTAAACCCTCACACACGAACCAGAACTCCAAACCCTAATGTGCCTTTTTCGTCATGACCAACAGCATGAAACCGAAGCCTTAATCTCATGCTGTATTTCCAAAACATTCACCGACATCCAAAAAACACAAGACGCAGAGTACACAAGCCACGAAGGCTCACAATTTGCAACAGAACCCTCAGGCCTGGACGTTCAACCGACATAATCTGAATCTGCGATGCGCACAACCAATCCTAGACCCACACCCCCCCCCCCCCCCCCAACCCCTCTAAGCTATACATCCGGCGTGCTTTACATGCCTTGTAAGCCCCAAGGATTCCCGTCCACCCTACATACAGTGCTGGAAAGTCATGGAGATAGGTCTGGACTCCCACTGCTCGTGCCTAAACCCGGAAACCGAACGTGATGACGATGACTCATGAAGATAAAGATAACATGACGTTGATGTTTCAAGATGGCGGTCGTGGTGGTGAAGTGAAAAGGAACATCATGCATTCTGATGCGGAAACTGCTCAATAATACTGATGCAAATGCTGTTGATGATGACGATACAGGTAAGGAAGGAGCTTAACATGAGTTCAGTGTACAATTGGACAGCCTGCTCCCGCACATTCGGGTTCAGGTTCAGAGGTGCGGCTGCGACAGAGGGTAAGCTCTCGGCTCCAGGACTTTCGGCCAGCCCTAGCTTCCAAAGCTCATGTCTCAGGGCCTCGAGCTTGGCGTTCAAGGGCTTTTGAGTCTCGGGTGCATTCTTAGTACGGCCAGCCCTAAACCGGGCTCCCGACGGCACACCGTTCACGACCACCACCTCGCCGATTTTGACTTGCGATAGCCCCGTGGGAAGATTCGACGATTTTGGAGTAGGACGCTGGAACAGTGCAGGGCTTCGCATTTTCGGCTTTAGAGCTTTAGGGCTTAGCTTGTGGTTTGAAGCTTTCGGGTCTTGGGTTGCTGGCTTTCTTCGGTTCCTGACCTCGGTAGACGGACATATCCTTTGGTTCGTGGTGCTTGGAGCTCCAGCTGACAAGTCCCAGACGGAGGAGAGGCCAAGTCTTTCGAAGCCTCCCTGGAGGACCAGCCTCGCCATGCATCGCCCCCTACACCTACAGCTGCCAGGCCCTCAAGCTCATTCCTCACCACTACACACACACAATGCTATGTCATGTTGCGATCCCCGAGTCCTACAACCGGCTCCGGAGCCCCCCTGCGAAACTCCCGAGCAAAAAGAGCCTACCTACAGGGTGAAGATCGAAGCCCGCACGCGTTGAATCCGAAAACCCAAGCCAGCCGATGGCAACAGGGCAAAAGTCAGGCAGGCGCCTTGGAACCCTTCGCGTGCTCCGCACCTGGCTTGCCGGGTACTGGGCTCAAGGTTTATAGGGGAACCCTTGCCCATCCCCGTAAAGCTTAAAACTCGGCATCAGCGGAATCATTGATCATTGGTACGGCTCGGGGTGTGGGCTCATACTGCCGGACTTCCGAGATTCGATGCAGCTGCACAGCTAGAATGACTGCTCAGTTCAAACATCCTGTCACACCCTTGATGTCACGAGTCGCAAACTACCCTCAGCAGTAATCCTATACCCTCAACCCTGAGTCCTACTCGCGGAATTATTTGGGTTTTCGGGCTAGAGCAGGGCGAGCCCAAGCACACATCAAAACAAGTTGCGGCAGACTCCTTCTATAACTTTGAAACATCCGCACGCACCTCTGTATTCAACCCCTTCCACAAGCCTCTCGAGCCTTTTTCAATCCAACCCTAAGGGCCGAAAGAAGCCCCGGGCTGCGGACTGGCCTTGCACCTGCTCCGGAGGCTCGGGCGGCTCGGCCTGCGCTCTCTCAGTGCATTTTCCCGTTGCCCTTTTCTCTCTCCCCCTTCCCCAAAAAACACAGATGCAAGTATGCATGCATACACACATGAACGTTTACACGTGGGTATCACCAGACAGATGGACAAGCCGACAGCAGACCGACGGACAGACCGAGCGAGAGAGAGAGAGAGGCAGATAGATAGGCAGGTAGGTAGGTAGGTAGGTAGGCAGGTAGGTAGGTAGGTAGGTAGGCAGGTAGGTAGGTAAATAGCTAGGTAAATAGATAGATAGATAGATAGACAGGTAGACAGACAGGTGTTTGCTTGTTTACAGGTGCTTGTGCAACATGTACACCTGTAAATCCATATATACATGCACACAGACAGCCGGACAGACGGATGCATGGCCGATTGGATGGCGAGCTCCGCCCTAAGCTAGCCGAGCCTCTCAACCCTATCAGGCCCTAATATCCCTTAAACTCGAAACCGTAAGCCCTCGACTTTTTCCTTTATCCATGGAAATCTTGAAACCGCACCTGCCGCCCCCCACAAAAGAAAGACTCTCTCTCCCACACATCAAGCCTTTTACCATTGGGGCCGCCCAACAAGCAAAAACATCTCTGCACCGGAACCCCCGGGATCGGCTCCAGATCTTGCTCGCTCCCGGTCTACTTTCGCCCCAAAAACGGATCTACCGAGGCCCTCCAGGCTCCAAGAATCCATCAGGCCCAAAGAAGCCCGAAATCCTGAGCTCTGATATAGCAAGACTGTTGAGATTACTTCCGTCGTGCCTCTACAGTTTCCAAGTATTGATACCGCTCCAACCCCCAGTGATACTTTTAGCAAAGTCCTGTTCAAACTCTCGACTCTGCCTTGGCCTTATGCATATGAAGCCTCCGTGGTCCGTGGCGATTAAACGTCCCAACACTGCATCATCACCAACATCATCATGACTGAAGTCGTCCTCATCATTTTCGCAAAAGCAAAGAACAACAAAGAATGGTCGGGCCAGGCCGGGCGCCTGTTTCGGCGTCTGACTCGGCGACCTGGTTTTTGGAAGGAGCTGAGAATTTCTCGGCGAGTTTGTTGAGGGGAAGTTTGTGGGGCCTCGAGGGCTCAAGGGCTTTAGGGTCAAGAGCCTGGGAATTCGGCTTTTCGGATTTGAGAGTGAGGGTTTGGGAAGTTTAGGGCATTCATTCAGGTTCAGGGAGATTTTGGAACTACTCATGTTCCTTCTCAAGACTGTACTGCGTCGTGGTTCGCCTTCCCTCCTTTCTGTGGACTCATTGGCCCGCCCCGTGGCACGATGGTGCAATTTCATCTGCTCCATTAACTTTGCGGTGTCAGTAGGCAAACTCTCTCGGCAGCGCCAAGGAGGGCGCGCAGCGCTTACAATTGCAACACACGCTTTCAAGAGCGGCCTGGAGTTCGTTTTGAGGGTTGTTTTTTGAGCACACAAAATGCTAGAACCCCGAAATCGCAATGCCCTGTTTGTGTTAAAAAAAAAAAAAAACGTCCCTCAAAGAGCTCGCACAAAAGCACCATCTTGTAACTACTAGGCTACCGAAACCCTTTTTAGAGAAGCCGGGGCCTCTCTGCGGGCACTGGGGCCGTGGATTTCGCCGCCAGCACGGCCAAGGCCAGCGTGGAGGCGGCTTCCGATTCTCGGAGGACGGGGGCGGGGGGGCGTTTCGAGAGCCAAGGGGAGGCGGTCGGAGCGCTTCGGGAGTTGGGAACAAAAGGGGCCTTCAGGCTCTAAGTTTAGGGTTTAGGGTTTAGGGTACGTGGGTTTCAGATAAGGTCTGCCCCTCAATCTTAAGAGGAGGGCAATCCAGGGACACTGAAGACAGACGCAAAGCCGGTGGGCCCCGCGCCTGCCAGCGTCATCGACTTCGGCCCCTGAGCGAGGATGTTGTGTTCTTCCTAATCCTATGCTACTACAATTGCCTTAACAAGTACAAACAATGTTTTCGGGGTAGGTTGTAGTAACTTCCATACGGATATGCAGCCCGCCATATATTAAACCCCCAAACCAAGTTCCTGGTTCTTTCCGAGAACGGAGACTTGAGATTGGTCGTACAACATGGGCCTTTCATCCTGGCGTGTCGCCAATCAGTCATCTAAGCCACAAGAGAAGAGGCCCTGGAGGCCCTCATAATCCATCCTGCGCGCCACGTCCCTCATTGACCCTCGCCCTGATGCGCCAATCTCAGACTCTCCGAAGTTTCGAGATCTTGGCGCCTAATCCTAAACTTTGAATTCAGCCTTTGACCCTCAGCATAAGCCGTCATCCTAGATCTTCACCCGGGGGCCCCCACGGAGATCCGTCCCTGTTGGGGAGATTCCACCTCCTTGATGGGAGACCTGAAAGCAGTCTCAGGGTTGCAGACTTTAGATGTCAGGTTCATTCGGGTAATTCTTTACAGGTAGTTGCAGTCCAAGGTAATTTCGGGGGTTGCTCTTAGTGCGGGTTTGTGGGCAAACAGAACTTGGGATTTTTGTTGGGTGAGGCGTTGGGAGTGGAAGGATTAACCAACAGCGTCATCTCTTGCACTTGATCATGTAAAGTTTTTGGCATGAACGGATAGGAGCTGCGGACACGAGATGGGGCTAATATCCTGAATAGTTGGACTTTGGGTGTAGGGGTGTATTATAGACTGTTAAGGCCATAGTGTCGTTACTACTAGTTCAGTCGGCACCATAGGCTCTAAGTCCGAAACTCTGATCGCTAAAGACCCTAGACCTGAGGTATCTGGCTTACAAAGGCAAGCTTTGGCTTTGGGAGCCGAGCTATAAGGTTCTGCGGCCCTGCGGCTCTGCGAGCCTAGGAAGGTCTGAGTGATATGTTTTGAAGCTTGAGTGTTGCTAGCAGCATACCTCAACCAGAACATGTACAACATTCCGCCGATGAGCAAAGAACCGTGAATCTTAGCTTTAATTCTGGTCCATGCCTCTTACAAGTTGGTCAAACTCCCCATCGGTGATCTGCCCTTGATCTTCAAGTCCAAGTTGCACACCGAGCCTCCTATCGAGCATGCGTGGTAACCGTCGGCTATGTAAGCAATGTATGGGATGGTAATCCCCATAAGATGCACTTTTATTGGCCTGCTCGCCAAGATGTCACACATGCAGCTCCAGAACCAAAATCCTGGGCACTAAGCCCTAAACCTAAAACCCTGCAATCCAGAACCGCTAGCCCTCCAGCCCACCAAATTTGCAACTTAACGCTCAAAACCGAGATGGTGGCAGCGGAGCAACAGACATGGCCGTGGACGTATACTCCTGTCCATGTGGTTTTCGTGCTTCAGCGTTTAGTATCAGGCGAGGTATGCGTGGATTGGGGCATTGCAAAGAGTTCGAGCCATGAGGCCATAAGGTCTTTATTTGCCCAGGGTGCGGCGACAGCGCCCACTCTGGGAGAGAGCCAAGGATTTCGGGATTTCAGTTCTTGGGAGGTTCAAGGAGTAAGGTATTGGAACTTATGAGTTGAAGAGGTGACAGCAAGCCTGTGCCGGTGGCAGCTGCAATTCCAGGACCTCTGTGTTCAGTGTCCACTGAAGGTTAGGTCGTCCCCCAAGACCTTAAACAGTTTAAAATCTTAAACCCCCACAGCCTAAACCTCAATATTAGAAATGGTACCTCTTTGTACCCCCGCTAGATTTGCTCCACAACATGCCCCAGCAAACCTTTTCTCTGCCTATCAAGGCCCCTGCATTATACCGGTTGAACCGAAACTTTCATCTGCTTTCGGCCATCCCACCTAAACTCTTCGAGCCACGTCTCCTGCGTGCTGCGGAGCTGACCTGCGCAGGGCATTCGGGGTTTCCGATTTCAGCCTCCAGGCCTGGTTTTCGGGGGGCGAAGGCTCGGTTGCACAGGATGAGAATACTTTCTAGGAGGAGTCAGTCTTAAAGTTCCTGATTGCTCACTGGATTTCCTTGACCTGCCATTCTTGAGAATTTCCCGCATTTGTTTTCTCACCATACTGGTGCTACTCTGTCAAAATGTCTAACCCCAGTCTCGCGGTTTGCTACTGTTTCTCAAGTTTTCTATTTCGGTTCTCCTTTTCTTGAAAGTCCTCAGTCCCTCTCGAAAGGTTTGCTCCGGTTTCTTACTCCGTTTCCACTGGTTCGCGCCTCGCTTGCCAAATTCTACCCTTTGTCACATTCTGTGGTCCTTCTCGACCGGTTTGCTCCTGTTTCTCAACTTTTCCACTCTCTTTCGACTGGTTCGCTCTTTTTTGTCAACGCCTCCTTTTTCTTGACGGCTCTAATCTAGAGCGGTTTGCTCCTGTGTCTCAACTGTTGAGGTCTCTTTCGACAGGCTCGTTTTTTCTCGAATTCTCCGAGTTAAACCCTTACAAGCAGCTTGCTAGTGTTTCTCAACTTTCCTAGTCCCTTTTGACTGGTTGGCTCTTCTTTTGTCAACTTCTCTTTTTTTGCCAGATTCACTAGTCGCTTTAAACTGGCTTGGCCCTGTTTCTCAACTTTTTCGTCCATGTCGACTGGTTCGCAGATTCTCCGCTTTGTGGAAGTCCCTTGTTCCTTATCGAGCGGGTTAATCCTGTTTCTCATCTCTTGGAGTCCATTTCGACTGGTTGGCAGATTCTCTTGCTCCTGCTGCTCAACTTCGATCGGTTGGCTTTTTCTTTGTCGGCCTCTCCTCTTTGTAAGAGTCTCTGGTCCCTTTCGTGCGGCTTGCTTCTGCTTCTCGACTTTTCTAGCCCCTTTCGACTGTCTTTCGTTACATTCTCCTCACAGTTTGCTCCTGTTTCTCACTTTGTTTAAAAAAACCCGTTTCTGCAGCTTCGAGCTTCTTTTGTAAGGATCTCCTCTTTGCCAAACTCTCTAACTCTCCTTTTGAACGGCTTTGCTTCGGTTTCTCAACTTGTCCAGTCGCTTGCTCTTCTTTTGTATAAGCCTCCTCTGTGTCAAATCTTCGTTTAGTCCCGTTCAAGCCGCATGCTTCTGTTGCTCTTGTGTTCTCAGACTCCCGTTTTTGTCCAAATTCTCAAGCCCCTTTCGAGTGGCTTGTCCTGTTTCTGAACCTTTCTAACCCCCTCTGGACTGGTTACTCCTTGTTGTCAGAGTCTCTAGTCCCTTCCTGGTCCCTGTCGACTGGTTGGTTCTTCTCTTGTCAGATTCGCCTCTGTGTCAAAGTCTCTAGGTTCCTCTTTCGCAACTTTTCTTGACCCTTTCGACTGGTTCGCAGATTCTGCCCATTCCCTTTCGAGCAATTTGCTACTGCGACTCAAGTTTTCCAATCCCTTTCGAGTCGTGCGCTGTTCTTTTGCCAACTTCCCCTTGTTGTCAAACTCAGCAGTCCCTTTCGAACGGTTTGCATCTGTTGCTCCCCTTTCGACTGGTTCGTTCTTACTGTGTCAAGGCCTGTCCTCTTTCTCAACGTCTCTGATCGCTTTTGAGCTGTCTACTCCTGCCTTGTAATTTTCGATCCCTTTCGACTGGCTCCCTCTTCTTTTGACAGGTTCTCTTCTTTGTCAAATTCTATAATATTCAACAATATCTCTCGAGCGGTTTGCTCCTGTTTCTGGGCCCAAGCGAGTGTTTCGACCTCTGGTTGTCAGATACTCTTCTTTATCAACTTTTTTCTGACGGTTTGCTTATTGCTTCTGTTTGTCAACTTGCGTAATACCTTTTGAAATGGTTTGCTCTTTTTTGTCCGATTCTCCTCCGTGTCACAGTCTCAATAGTCCAGGGCCTCCTCTTTGTCAAACTCGCTAGTTCCTTTTCAAACGGCACGTTTGCCTACTTTGCTAATCCGGTTTTGTGAGATTCTCCTCTGCGGCAAATTCTCTAGTCCCCTTCATGCGGTTCGTCGGGTATTCCTCTTTGTCGAACTCTCTAGTCCCCTTCGAGCGGTTTGCACCATGTTTGTCAATGTTCTATTCGCTTTCTTTCTCAAACAATATGCTTGCTGTACTGTTGCAGCTGAAACTCAGTTGTTTGACGAGGACCCAGCAAAGAGAGGCCTGGGTGTGGCGGGTTGTTCTGCATTCTGGTCGATAGCTTCTGGTTCCATTCTTTTCACCGGGTCAGGGTGCGGGTACGTTGAGGGCAGCCCCGAGCAAGAGCAAGCACCGATCTGACATCCGAAAGTCCGAAAAGCCTTTTGCCACACACCCGCAGCCGGCGTCCCGAACCTTGACAAACACCTGCACAATACTCCCAAAACTCCAATCTCCCCTCAGAAACTCCACTATCCTGGATTTAAGGGTCAAGCCGTTTCCCTTCAGTAAAGGCTTCTCGGTCTCTGCACTCCGGCCTGGATCGTCGTCCTCCTCTTCGTCCACAGCCTGGTCCTCTGGCAGCCGGCGCATCGGGCTTCCTGAGGAGAGGGAGGCGGGGGTTTTCGGGACCAGGAGCCAGGAGGAAGGTTTATGTAGATACCTCCAACTTGCCAGTCTCTGCTAACTAAATTCCCGAATCGTCCAAGCTGAGCCGGGTCGAGGGTTTTCCGGCTTGGGCTTCGACGGGCTTTGGCGGCAGAGCTGACAACTTTAGAGGGGTTCGGGCTGGAGGGTTTCTGGCTGAAGGCGAGGCCAAGGGCTGCTGGAGATTTGAAGCACCCGCCGGGCGATGCCCGCGACCGTTGCAAGACATCATCCGACCTGTAGCCGGCTACGACGACCTAAGACAGTCGCACAGGAGGCCGAAGGTTCGTCGGGGCCCACAACGACCAGAAACAGGACAGAAGCTGTCGGCGGAAATTTGTTTCCCGTCTCCCCTCCGCGGCCCGGCCTAGGCCCAGAAACCGAGGCCTGAAGCGGGGAGCGGCCTGGGGCATCTCTGGGGGACTCCAGGGCCTAGGCCCACGAGAGGCACTGGCAGTCACTCTGGGTTCTAGGTATCCGGCTTCGGGAGGTATCTGGGCCTCTCGAG